CAGCATATTCATAATGTCAATGCCGTACAGCAAGTCACTACAGAGCTAGGATTTTAACCTTACTGGTCCCTACCTTATCCCTTGCCAATCCCCAACATGTAGTCAGAAGATACTGAAAAATCATGCACACGGGATGGCACATCTTGGAGCCTTTGTACATCCTGTCTCCTCTGTCTGGAATGCAAAGTCTCCTAAACTCACCTGACAAAGTCATGCTTATCATTCAAGACACAGCCTAACTGTCTCTTTGAGCCACAACTTCCTGAGACAGACTTGCTTGCTTTCTTCAAAGCTTTCATTTCTCCCTGTGCATAATGCCACAATGATAATTACTACACTGCATCATTTATCTGTTTACACATCTGCTTCCCCATTAGACTATAAAATCTTTGAGACCAAAAGCCCTATCTTTTAACCTACATAACTTGGTACAGTGTCTGACACAAAGTAGGTGCTTAAGAACTATTTTCTGAATAGGAAAGTATCTCCCAGGGAACAGGTTTAGCAAGTTGATATTAAAAGACAATCTAATGAGGACTTTGATAAACTACTTTGAGTAAAACTGTGTCAACCTAGCCATGACTGTCAGAGTTAAGGTGCATTAGCTGTAAAGACCTGGAGAGTGATCTGATCTTGGCTGGAGAAGGATGTTTAACAACTAGAGATGGAAGCAAAACTCCTTCTGTTGTCCAGATCTGATGAAATTTTTAAAAATCTCTTAAAAGGGGCCACAGATACAGCTAAAACAATTTTAAAATGATAGGAATGTTGATGTTCTAAGGAATGATATTTAACAAGCAATGATTTAGCTACTGACAAAAAAACAAATGTAAAGCAAAGCTAAAGATTAATTTAAAGAGTTAAAACTCAGGTAATATTTTTACATTTCTACACAAAGATTCCCTAGTCTAATCTTCTGAAGAGTCAGGAAATATCCAGAGAGCATCCTCAAGGGTACCATAAAGTACATTTGTAAAAATGCTAGAACCCCATATATAGGAAATGGTTTTGGCTTAAAAACTAGGGAATTATTGGGTGAGTCATTCTAACTGTGACTTCCAGTAACCAGAAGGGAATCAAGTCAGAAAGTGGAATGAATAAAACCAAGCTAAAATAAATAAGATCAGCAATGGTAATGATAAATAATGCTTACATTTGTGTTAACACTCTAGTTTATGAGGCATTTTTCATTTTTCAAACGTGGAAAATTAAACTGAGAAGTTAGGTGGCATGCTAAAGGTCACAAAGTTAAAATAAGCAGAGTAGAGGAGTTGAACCGGACGTTCCAAAATCAAGTCTACAGCTCCTTCTGCTACTCTGATTCTTTGCCACCTGAAAGGTGAGCTTATATGTGCTCTGGATGGGCCTTAGGACACTTTCTAAGATGACTTCAATGAGAACAGAGAGTTTCCAAGTTACTTAAGCATATCCTTCAACTTAATACCTTGAAAGAATGAGGACACTCTTTAATGTGTCTCAGAGGGAATCTTCACACCTTCCATGTTACACTCTCTGTTGAAAGATGCAAGCTGCTGTGAACTCTGGGTAACATGCTACTATCTGCATAAAAGCACTGCAAAGGTATATATTTAAATGCAGTGGTTTGTCTATGCATATATTATCTCTTAAAGCACATAAGAGATTACCAACAGTGGGTACTTCCAGAACCACTGAAAAATGATAGCTAAGGGATCAGGGACAGGAACACAACTTTTCAGGGCACATATTCCCTTTTGAGCCTTTTGAATTTTAAACCACATGAAAGTGCTACCTTTTTCAAAAAGTATATTTAAAGTTAACAATACATAATGAGAGTTGGAACAAAGGCAATGGTTAGGTGATTTGGGGTGAAACATTTCGGAGATAGGATGTAGCAGAAGAATAGAAAAGTAAAACGTATTCCAAAGTTTCTGTCAGACTCCATAATTCCATATGGTGTTTCACAGTTTGAAGTAAATATTCCTCAAGACCATCAAATTTCTTCCATTCTAATTCTTCGCTCATTAAACAGCTCTCAGTTTTTTTATGAACCTTGATACTGAGGTAAGTGTGTCCTAATCGAGGATACAAGCATTCAGGTCATCAGAAAGGTAAAGCCTTTCACAGTAAATAAGAGAGTGTCCAGCTTAAACCAGTCTCTGAAGAGGTTGATGAGGAGTTATGCCAGACACACTGATAAAATATGGAACTGCAGAGCTAAAGACTAAACCTTGGACCAGTACAGCCCCACCAACGGTCTATCCAAAAATGGGATCCGGCTGCAACTAGGTGGAATTAACCATTGACACATCTGAAATTTTCAGTATGTTTGTCCTCTGTTCTACCACTACTTAAGTCAGTCCAAAATTTTTACCCTAAAGGTCACAATAACTTAAGGGTTTTGCGTATCTTTCAGCCTAAAAAAAGTCATGGTATTTTTTTTTTTTAAGGCAGTACCAAAGCAGCTTCCGTTCTCACACAGAAATTACTTCAATGCCTTAGAGGTCCAGGAAACTGGTGAGTCTTGTGCTCAAGGGAGTTAAAAAAAAAAAAAAACCCAGGACCAACAAAACTTGTACTACATAAAGAAACCACACGCTTGTTCTCTATTCTGATGTTCAAATTACATACTTAAAAGATAATATCATTCTTAAATCAGTATAAGATTTTTAAAAGAAGAGTCACAGCCAGAGTTATTTTGGAACATTACAAAAATACCCACTCATAGCTCTGCAATCCAGGGCTACATCATTTGATTTTATATTAGTGGATTAGCAGTCACTCACTAGATTCTATACAATTGAGCTCTCAAGCTCTTTCTAAGTAAGGAAGGACATGAGACAGACCGATAAATACTCAAATTCAAAACTCATTTTAGCCCATAGTTTTTAAATTCCTCCTCCCACCAATTTTTTTTTTTAACCGGCGCCAACAGGTAACAATCTACGGATGCAAGTGTCTCTTCCCTCCGTGATCTGATAGTTGTCCACATGATCATTAAGACAACCAAAATTAGGAAAAAGGAGGGGGAAATGAGTGAGAGGGGTTGAAAGAGTAGAAAGGGCTAGCTAATTCACAAACTGGATAAACCAAGGCCACAACAATTAAATGTCTTATTTAATTAAACTGGAAGATTCTTGACACATTGTCATCTTATTTTTAATACGATGGCCAAGTCACTGAAGCCACCAAGCTAAACTGTAAAACCAATTTGTGAAAAGAAATTGTTTCAGGAACCAGGATTCTATCATGAAGAGCAGTTAATAAAGTTTATAAGCTGGCAGTTACTAGCTCTCATTAAGAACTGACTAACGTTTCAAACGTGATCCCCAGTAATTCTATTGATAAAGAGCAATGGAAAATTTGGAGGAAGAAGTGATGAATCAACCTTTCTTCCATGTGCTATATTTTACTGGAATATGAGTAAGTATAAAAGAGGTAAGCGAAATTGGGGGGGGGGGTACTAATCATCGAAATGTCATCTGACTCCCCAGGTGTAGCAATGCTCACTCAACTGATGTGCTTTACTGTGACTCAAGATCTGTCAACTGAGGACACAAGGGAATTTGAGTAAAGCCAAGAGATATACTCCTAAATTTTAAACCGAATCTTCCAACAGATCTAGCACAAGATCTCACAAGAGTCAACTATAAGAAATTAACCTACTCAACATAAATTGATTCTAAAGTACTTTTTAAAATGAATTCTTGCCAATGCAAAAATTCAAGAAAGACGTCTGGGGACCTGTACATGTCATTTATCTCTTGGCCAAGGGCACTAAAATATACTATGAGGTGTCCAAATCAATGCATCCCTCCTCTGTTCTCCTTACATAACCTTATTTCTCTAAAATAAAAGTTAATTAACTGAAAATATCAATCAAGAGCATACTTTCTTTCTCAATATTGATAAAGGCAAATACAGCTGTTGTGTACTATATGCCCAACATGCTATATAGAAAACAACCCAGGCAAATCGACTGCATTATGAACAAAAGTAAACGATCGCTCCCAAAACCTATCCCTTTCTCTCCAAAAAAGAATTTTCCCAACTTCTCCAATTATATTCCAAAGAATTCAGAAAGAAAGAAAACAGAATAAATGTCGATCGCAAACATTTCACTAATAACCGAGCTTTCCTAGCATACTGATTTGTAATTGTATCAAATCATGAATCTTTGAGGGCACAGAAAACAAAGACTAAATGGCCCTGCCAATCTACGATGATCATAGTTCACCTTTAGAAGGGTGATCGCCATGGAAGCAAATTCGATGCATCCCTTGCTTCCTTCTTGGCACTGATTAAGCCGATCCTGCACTGCTGCCACAATCTGTTAGTTTCAGCCACCACACACACATCAGGCCTCTAACACACTCCACGAGCCAGGGCTAGGCTGTCTAGAAATCCGCACTGTGTCACTGCATAAGGCAGTTTCCCCCTCCATACATCCAGGAAGAGGAAAGCCACCTAAGCACTCTGTCAGATCTCAGCAAGACTGTAAAATGACAGAAAGAGCTGCTAACCAGCAGGCTGCAACGCTCACCACCTTTAAAAATCGTTTAAGCAGTTTTAGTCCCCGTCATCTCACTTCCCTCCTCCCCTTCCCTCCTCTTCTCTCTTTCTGTCTCCGTCTCTGTCTCTGTCTCTCTCTCATACACACACACTGCAGTTCAACCCCGGCTTCGCAAGCGGAAGGCTGAGAGCTCTGGACTGCCTCTGGACTCACAGTCGGCCCAGACTCATTCAGAGCCCTGAAATACAGACATTCTCACCTGCACACACCTCACCACTTCCACTCCCACCATCACCGCCTCCGCAACCACACTCACTCGCCCTCGCAACCTCTCTCCACACCAACCCCGGCGCTGCAGAACCCCTACCAGCCTCATCAGCAAGGGGAGCACACGCTACCATTTAGATCATCGGGGCCACCTAAGCTCCAGAAACCCCCTCCCCACACAGGCCACCTCCCCGCGCCACCTGGAGCCTGGACCCCCCGGCCGCCGAGAGGGATGCGCTACCTTTAGACTGGCAGTCCGCACAAAACTTGTTATCCTCCTCCAAAAGCAGGTTGGCCAGGACCGCCTGGTACCGATCCACGTCCTTCACCGATTTGCCCGTCATGGCCAGAGTGCCGGCGGGGGCAGAGAGCGACGCGCCCTCCTCGCCCCCAGAAACCCCTACCTCAGCCCGGAGGTGAGGACTCCCAGCTCCCCGCCCAGGGGCACCTCCTGAGCGGGGGAGAGCCCTCTCCCCCGGCCCGGCCCGGCGCCCCTTCTCAGGTCAGCCGCGCCTGCCCCCTACTCTGCAGCCCCTCAGCGCGGCGCCCCCTGGCGGGCTTAGGGAAAGGCCCGAGTCCCGACGAGGCTGTGGGACCAGGCAGAGACCCTCAGCCCAGGCAAGGGGGGCGCTCGGGCCTCCCGCGTGCCGGGCGCAGCGACGACCCCCCGGCCTGCCTGTCTGCGGGCCGTGCGTCCCGCGCCTCGGTTTCCCTGGCAGCTGCCGCCTGCTCGGCCACCACCTCCGCCGCCTACTTCCGGCAGCTCTTCCTCTCCTCCTCCACCCAGCCCAGCCCGCGCATGCGCCCCGCCCCCACCGCTTCGGACTGGGCTCTTCCCTCCGCTCCGCCAGTCAGGAACCAATCCGGGCAGAAGTGAGGGGCGGAGCTTGGGTGGGGCGGAGGGAGAAGTGGGCCCGCCCCCTGCATGTCCTTGGAAAAGAATGAATGGAGCTCGGCGGAAAGGAAGTGGAGGGAGTGGAAGAAAGTGAACGAAGATCACAATTAACATTTCCTGAGCTCTTACTATGTGCCAGGCACTGTGCTAAGCGCTTTATATGAACCATCTCAATATAATCCTATAAACGTCTCTCTGAGTTAAATATTTACCATCCTTATGTAACCTGGGAGTTGTGGATACTCCGAAGTCCTCTAGCTTATTCTTTTCTTCAACAAACAGATGGGCCCAAACTCCTAATCCAGGGTAAGGGGACATCTCACCCTCCCCAAATTTTCCTAGGATTCTAGTTACCTCTCACTTGGAATGCCTGCTTCTGGTGAATTCTGTTCCCCGTTCACTAGCTCTCCTCTTGTGATTAATGTCATCTTTGGACATTGTTTTTCCTGGTGCCTAGACACTTTTTTGTTTCATTTCTAAATCTTCCTGAAATAGTGCAATTTTTCATATTATTTTCCATTATGATTTATTATAGGATATTAAATATAGTTCCCTGTGCCATAGAGTAGAATCATGTTGTTTATTTTATATACAGTAGCTTGTATCAGCTAATCCCAAACTCCTAATTTATCTCTTCCCCATCTCCTTTCCCTTTTGGTAAACATAAGTTTGTTTTTTATGTCTGAGTCTGTTTCTGTTTCATAAATAAATTCAGTTGTGTCATATTTTAGATTCCACATATAAATGACATCATGTGGTATTTGTCTTTCTCTTTCTGACTTACTTCACTTGTTATGATAATCTCTAGGTCCATCCATGTTGCTGCAAATGGCATTATTTCATTCTTTAGCATGACTGAGTAGTATTCCATTGTGTATATATACCACAACCTCTTTATCTAATCATCTGTTGATGGATATTTAGGTTGCTTCCATGTCTTGGCTATTGTAAATATTGCTGCTATGAACATTGGGGTACATGTATCTCTTTGAATTAGTCTCCAGATATATGTCCAGGAGTGGGGTTGCTGGATCATATGGCAACTCTTTTTTTAGTTTTTTAAGGAACCTCCATACTGTCCTTCATAGTGGCTGCACCAATTAATGTGTAGGACGGTTCCCTTTTCTCCACATCCTCTCTGGCATTTGTTATTTGTAGACTTTTTAATGATGGCCATTCTGATAGGTGTGATGTGATACCTCATCATAGTTTTGACCTGTGTTTTTTGAAAAGAACTTGCTAAATGGCAAATCTGGTTGAATCACTATCTCCTGCTTAAAAATCTGTTAGTGGCTCTCCATGATCTATGACAGTACTTTTCAAAATTTCTCATCTAGAGAGAGATTGCCTAGTCTGGTAGTAAAGCTCACAGACTAGGGGACCCGAATGACTGAGTTTATGTTCTGAGCTTTACCATTTACTATCTGTATGACTTTTATCAGGTAACTTAACCTCTCTGTGCCTCAGTTATTTCATCTATGAAATGTAAATGATAGTGATATTAAACATACTTATTTCATAGGATTTTTGTGCAGCTTAACTGAGATAATGCTTGTAATATATAAGAATAGCTCTTGGCACATAGTGAGTGATAATTAATGCTCTTCACTAAATGTTTCTGGCTTTCTGCCCTCTGGGCATATGGTAGGATTTTATTTCATGGCCCTGTCATGGTTTGGTATGGCCATTAAGTTTGAGCAGAAAGGATATGTGTCACTTCATGCCTGAAGAATTTATTTACTGCTTTGAGACAGATTCTCTTTCCCTCTGGCATGGAAACCATCAATGTTCAAGATGGTGATTGTCTTAGTTCAGAATATCATAAAGAAATACCATAGGCTGGGTGGCTTATAAAGAGAAATTTATTTCTCACAGTTCTGGAGACTGGGAAGTACAAGATCAAGGTGCTGAAAGATTCTGTGTCTGGAGTCCACTTCCTGATTCATAGCAGGTGATGTATCACTGTGTCCTCACATGGCGGAAGGGGCAATAGAACTCCCTGGGACCTCTTCTATAAGGGCACTAATCCCATTCATGAGGACTCCACCCTCATGACCCCATCACTTCCCAAAAGCTGAACTTCCTAACACAATCACCTTAAGGGGTAGGATCTCAACATATGAATTTTGGGAATTATGTTCTTAAACATTCAGACTGGAACAGTGGTTGCTCTATTATGCTAAATTCCTGAGTACTTAATAAGTGAGAGCCCTCTGCCAACACATAAAGGACCTGTAGCATGAGCAAGAAATAAGCCTTCTTTGTGTTAAGCTACTGAACTTTGTTTTTTTATCCCATGGCATAACTTAGCCTATCCCAACTGATACATCAAGTATTAGCTATTATTATTATTATCATTATTATTATTATTATTATCATCATTCTTGCAAAAATATTCCCTCTATTTCACAGTGTGTCCAATACCCAGTACCTCTATTAAAAAAATATTTAAAAAAAAGAAAGCTGGATAATTATGTTCCTTATGTTACTGCTAGCTCTGTACTATTTGTGACATATAAATGAACTAAGGGCCTCAAACAAACTCATCATCTATTCAAAAGCTTTCTTTAGCCAACTCTCAAACTTTTTCTCAGTGCAGAGAAATCATGATGGTTAAAAAGCTTCCACTGTCTTGAAAACATATCTCTTCTCCATAAGCCAACTCTTTGAGCCCTGGGGCTGAGCAGCCTGCCCCTCCTCTCCTGCTCCAGTTCCCATTTGTTCATTTCCATAGCCTGAGACTCTTGGAAGAGCCTGGGTTTTCCATTGCTGGTGGAGCGCTCCAGGAGAAAACCAGTGTCTCTGCTAACAACACAATTTCTTGTGCTCACAGCACTTCTTGGCATTCCAGTGCTGGTCCCTTGCAAGGACAGAGAGAATGGCCTCTCCCCTATTCTGTCACACATTATCGTTTGGGCCCCAAATTACTGGTATGCAGTCTCACAAAGGCAGCTTAGCTGGCTTTTGAACCTCTCCTACTAACTTGAGCCCCTACCTCTGGTCCCTTCTCCCCCTTAGTTTCAAAAAAAAACAAACAAAAAAAAAAACAAAAAAAAACCTCCCATGACTATTAACTAGTACAAATCTGGGAGAGGAGGCAGGGTTGTCCATACTAGCAAGTATCTGAATCCCAGACTGACTCACTATCATTGCGATCTTGCTACGTTGCCCACAGGTGCGTAATAGTGCCCAGACATCATACATGAGCAGTTGCATTGCAACTCTGTAATGATGCAGGAGAGCGGGAACCTATATTCATATTTCTTGCATTTGCAGGACCTGGAAGGGATTGAGCAAGTATACCTGGCCTACTCTGGAGACCCTGTTGTAAAATGACAGAAACTTACCCCTCACCAAATAGCAGAACACTGAGGGAGAGACAAGATCCTAAGTTTCCAGAAAGGAAAAAACAAGTCACATAAAAAGGATCAAGAATCAGATGGGAAGGAAACAGCTTAGCAGTAGAGCGATTGCTTAGCATGTACCAGGTCCTGGCAGCACCCCCATTTAAAAAAAAAGGAATCAGAATGGCACAGAGTTCTCAACAGTAACTCTGGGAGCCAGGGGACAATGAAAACTGCCTCCAAAATCCCGAGGAAAAAGAGTTGCTGGAGGAGGAGGGTACAGCTCAGTGGTAGAGTGTGTGCTTAGCATCCATGAGGTCCTGGATTCAATCCCCAGTACCTCCATTAAAAAATAAATAAATAAATGAACCTAATTACCCCCCTTAAAAAAACAAACAAAACAACAAAAAATAAACTTTGAAAAAAAGTTGCCGAACTAGAATTCTATACCAGCAGAACTATCGTTCTAGAAGCAGCAGTGACTAGAGACCCGTTCAGATATACCAGATTTCAAAAATGCACGTCTTATGCTGGCTGTGCTCCGTTGCTCTCCACAGCCTCTCTCCACCCTTCACCCTGTTCTGTGCCCTGAGAGGCAACCTTTGTGCACGGTATCAATCCAGCTCCCCTGCACACTGGCCTCTGGTTGGATTCAGCCAGTTGGAGGCATGAGCGGGAAATCAGAGGGCAGGGGTGAACAGAAGTTGAGTTATTTACTTTCTCCGCTTTCTCCCTGCTAGCAGAACTACCACATTCTTAAGTGATAGCTAGAGTGCCTATGAGGTGGCCCTCTCCTCTGTCTGTGGCTCTCACCAGTTCTGGGAATACCCTCTCCTCTTGCCCCTTCAGGCTCTGAGGGTACAACTTTCCACTGTAGTTAGCCTCAGGGTACATCGTGCCTCTGGGTTTGTTTTTTTTTTTAAATCCTGCCCACACTTTGTAAAGTTCTCTAAATTCTCTTCAGTTGCCCTTTTTGTGTTGGCCATATATTTCCTGCTGGAACCCTAGCTGATTCACCTCCCATGCATACTTTGTCAAAAATGACAGAGTAAATCAAGAAAAAGGAAAACACCAAATCCCCAAAACAAAGTATTCAACAGGAAAGAGATAGAGGTTATTCCCAGGCTGATGGCAAAGGGAAATTCCAGGGTGACAGTTAGGCAGCAGAGTGGCTACCCTAGATGGGAGCAGTAGAACAGAAACATTAGAATGGCCAGTGCCAAGAATAATGAAATTTGTAGATTAGCTGATGTATTGGAACTAAGAGCAAATTCTCTTCTGTCAGAGAACAAAGGTATGCATTAGTCATAGATTCATTGAAAACTAAGCAAATAACCTATAATGAAACAGAATATGAAAACGAATATATGTATGTATATGTATGACTGAAACATTATACTGTACACCAGAAATCGATACTTTGTAATTGACCATACTTCAACAAAGAAAAAAGGAAAACTAAGCAAATAAAAAAGCAATTATTGACTTTAAAAGTTTAGCAGGAAAAAATGTAATCAATGAACACAAGGCTCAGCTGTCAATAATATTTAG